TCTAGAATTAGTCCCTACAGTTCTTGATGTGACTCTCATTTTGACACAATCATACAATGCCTCCAACTTTTGCTGCCTGATGCTTATGTCCTCTGAAAGACAAACATTGAGAGCCATTTGAAGTAGTTCACCTGCTTTCTGTTACATTTCATTATACTTAAAAGGGCTGGCATACAAATATTAAAAACTTACAAATCATCTTTCTTCTGGAATCCTAGAGTGCATCTCTGCTTCTTGGCACATATATCTCTGGACTATGACAGTACAATTGGTGAAATCATCCTTTAAATTGATAAGATGCTATTGATCACTCCTCTTAGTTTTACCCCAACTGGGAAATATTCACATAACCATGTAGATATGCTGCCTTAGATCAGCATTTATCCAATTTTTTTCCCTAAGGCATCCACCTCTGCTGGCAAAAGTGCATGAAGTAAAGCAGAGCAGCATTATTCAAAGTTGTAGATGGCAAATAGAACATTTCTTTGAACTCTCATGCTTTACCTTGAAATACACTAGAATTTTGCACTCTATTCTAGAATTCGTTCTTTCAACAAATATTAGGTGCCTACTACATGCCAGGCATTATTACAGGGACACAGTAATGAATAAACATATTTGTATTTGTTTTAACCTAGTAACATTTTGATACAACTGGCATGAGTAGAAAAACAAAAACTTTACCAAATCCAAGAGCAAAACCGATAATCCAAGATGGAACAATTATTGCTTCAAATATCCCTAGTTATGCTATTGCAACCTGAGAGTCTATTTGCACCCATTTGAGCAGCATAGTCTTGGGCTAATTCCCGGAATACAAAGCCAACAGTAAATATTTACTCTAGATGAAAATATTTGAGTATTGTTAGAACCAACCAGGTTGTCTTCATTTTACCATTAGGTTCTGCCTTTAGGTTCTGGCAAAGGTGGACATCCACTTTAATACCTGGAGAAATGTACAAAACTTATTCTTAAAAATAACATGAAGGGGAGGGGGAGTATCATTCCTGACACTTCAAAGTTAAGCCTTCATTGACTTCAGCACCACATTGCTAACAATTGCTCTTTAAAAAAAAAAAAAAAAGCCTTAACTGAGCAGCTTCTTATGTATCTGCTGATATACTTCATAAAGATGGGAAAAGCAAAATCTCACACAGGACAAATTTTTGGATTTCTCTTTGCAGAGAAATGAACATTCCTGTTATTTCATTCTATTGGTCTGGGATCGAGGCTGACATGAAGATTCCTTGAAAAGTATTATACTCCTTAATGGTAATTTTATCTTAAATAATTTGCTTTTAATTTTTGGTCTAACTCCAAAAATAAATGAGGGATTGATATTGCTGTTTGTGCGTATATGGCATATGTATTTTTTACTGGAGGCACCTCTTTTCAATAGCTTTATAAATTTATAATAGCACAAGTGATTTCTTATTGGGGTTAAGAGTCAGTCCTCCAAAACTGCAATGACTGAATAACTTGCATGAAGCCTGACTCTCCTACCTGGAGCCATCTAGTCAATCATCCCAAATTATTACAAAGGACTCTGTGCATGCATGTTAATGTGTTTCTCTTATAGACAATGTATGACTCCCAAAATTCAAACTCCTTCAGACTGGTTAATTAGAGAAGAGGTAAAGAAAATACCAAAATATATCGACTTCACGACTACAGGACAGTGGTTCTTAACCCAGATTGTGCATCAGAATCATCTGTAGAGGTAGTATGAGACTTTGCTGTTTTAAAAATTCAAGTTGTTGATCCGTGTTCTCAAATCTAACCTGAGAGAGGCCTAGGAATACCTTTTTGAAACTCCACATATGATTCTAATTTAAAGACTATAAGACTGCTATGGTTTGGATATTTGTCCTCTCCAAATCCCACACTGAAATTTAATCCCCAGTGTGATGGTGTTTGAAGATAGTGCCTAGAGGGGTGTCTGGGTTACAGTAAGTACAGCCCTCATAAATAGATTAATGCCTTCCTGTGGAGAGCATGGGTAAGGGAGTTCTTGCTTTATTAGTTCCCACCAAAGCTAGTGTTAAAAATTTATTTATTTTTTTTAGCCGGGCGCGGTGGCTCAAGCCTGTAATCCCAGCACTGTGGGAGGCCGAGGCGGGTGGATCACGAGGTCAAGAGATCGAGACCATCCTGGTCAACATGGTGAAACCCCGTCTCTACTAAAAATACAAAAAATTAGCTGGGCATGGTGGCGCGTGCCTGTAATCCCAGCGACTCAGGAGGCTGGGGCAGGAGAATTGCCTGAACCCGGGAGGCGGAGGTTGCGGTGAGCCGAGATCGCGCCATTGCACTCCAGCCTGGGTAACAAGAGCGAAACTCCGTCTCAAAAAAAAAAAAAAAAAAAAAATTTATTTATTTTTTTGAGTTAGAGTTTCATTCTTGTTGCCTAGACCAGAGTGCAATGGCGTGATCTCAGCTCACCACAACCTCTGCCTACTGGGTTCAAGCGATTGTCCTGCATCAGCCTCCCGAGTAGCTGGGATTACAGGCATGAGCCACCATGCCCTGCTAGTTTTGTATTGTTTTTAGTAGAGATGAGGTTTCTCCTTGTTGGTCAGGCTGGTCCTGAATTCCCAACCTCATGTGATCCGCCTGTCTTGGCCTCCCAAAGTGTTCAGATTACAGGCGTAAGCCACTGCATCTGGCCTCAGCTAGTTAAAAAAAACAGCTTGGCACTTCTACCCTCACTCCCTGGCCATGTGATCTCTACACACACAGTACCCCTTCCACTTCTACCATGAGTGGAAACAGCCTGAGGCCCTCACCAGATGCAGATGCCCAATCTATGTGCATGGATGTTAATGTGTTTCTCTTGTTGACAATGTGTGACCCCAAAATTCAAACTCCTTCAGACTGCTTAATTAGAGAAGAGGTGAAGAATATTTTCTTCACCTCTTCTCTAATTCCAAAATATATAGACTTCATGACTACAGGACAGTGGTTCTTAAGCCAGATTGTGCATCAGAATGATCTGTAGAACCAGTATGAGATTTTGCTGTTTTAAAAATTCAGATTGGGAATCAGTGTTAATAAACCTAACCTGAGAGGGGCGTCAGAATGCATACGTTTTAGGAACTCCACAAATGATTCTAATTTAAATACTATATGACCACTTTCCAGTCTTTATCATACCTTCCAGTCATCCAGAATTGTAAGTCAAATAAACCTTTTTCTTTATAAATTACCCAGCCTCAGATATTCCTTTACAGCAATACAAAATGGACTAAAACAAAGACTAAAGTTCATTTTATTCCTGATCATAATATGGGCTCCAGGTTTTGTTTAGATTTAAATTTAGTGTGCCTGGAGGCTAGAATCTGGATGTTTTAACGTGCTAGTCACCTCAGTCTTCTCACACTTCATATAAAAGAAAACACCTGAAATCCAAAAATAGCCAAAGTCTCCAGAGGAGAAATTCCAAGTTATTCCATTTCCTGTGTATAAACTCACTCATGTGCACAGCAGCAGCCTAACTTCAAGTCTTGGTGTTATAGGCAGGATCTCTCTCAAATACGAGGTGATTTTAAATACATAACCTGTGCTCACCAGTAAGAAGCCTTGAACATTTTATATTTGAAATTTTAACGTCAGTTTATTAAGTTCAATGATGAAAGCAATCAGAAGAATATTCTCCTGAAAATAATTTTTTCCTAGAAAAAAAGAAAGGAAAATCAAAACCCTCTGAGCACAGCCACAGATGCTGTGGCAGTCAAGCCTCTCTGCAGATGGGGACAGTCCATTAATCAGCTGAGTCACTCTCTGGGTCAGCAGGGTTGTAGTCTGGATCATCTTCATCATCCTCTAGCTCCAAGTCGTCCATTTCTTGGAACAAAGACTCATCTACCTCCACGTTGTTTCCAGCTGCAAAAGGAAAAAAAAAAAATCCATCTTTAGTTTTATATTCAGAAATAAAAGATACAACTCATTGGCATACCAAACAGAAATCTCCAAATCTGCATGTGAGATAGGAGTGATGAAATCCCAAACTACCACTATTACTATTAGTACATATCATATCAACAGTGATTTGTATTGGTCAGTAGAGACTCTGAAATTTTAACAGCAACTTCATGTTTCCAGCTCATAGTCTAAAAATCCAGTTATTTAAAAAAGCTTACTAGAATTATTTATAATGTAGCATGTTGTCAGCTGAAGACAACAATGATATGTTCTCCTGGTTACAGAAAATTATCATTGACCATGGGACTGGTATGAGGAGTTATCTCTTCCAGTAGTAGCAGATAAGCACATTGTTAAAGCTCAGCCATACTTGTTAATTAATGGACTTGACTTGATCTTCATTATCACCCAGTTCCCCTTTTAACCAATGGTATGCCGTTAGTTACAATTTCTAAAGCCTACAGGAAACTATACCCAGGCTCTGCATTAAATATCTTCACTCTTCGGTGTGTCTAAAGTAGATAAAACTATGATACTAAAGCACTATTAAATCACCCCAAATTGTTCTTCTTCCTCCCCTGTCAAACTCTAGTCTGTTGACATTCAATTCAATGAAAATACAAAGAGAATGAGTCCTGTTTCTTGCCTGTGAGCAATTCAGCAATAAAATACAATTAAGTCCTGGCCAAAGAATAACGGGCTCTGTCTAGGAGATATAGCAAAGACATCATGGAGCAAATGAAGTCTGAAATACCTTCATGATAAATTTGAATCCATCAAGAAAAGGAGCCAGGATGAAGCAATTTTAGGCAGAAGTATATGCAAAGGCAGAGAGAAAATGTAAGACCAGAATAATTTTAACTGGAAGATGAAATTACTGAGAAAAAATACCTGAAATTAATGTAGATGAGGGCCAGATTGAGAAAGACTGTGTAGGTCATTCTCTCCCTCAAAGCGGTGAAAACCATCAAAGGATTTTAAGGAGAGAAATTTTATGTTTAAATATGGGTTTTAGAAATATCATCTCACAGGAAGTGACTATAGAATAGGTAATGGCACTAGGAGGAGGAAGAGATTTAGGGAAATAATTTAAGAAGCTACCATAAACATCTAGGTGAAAATGACAAAACAGTTAAATCAGAAAAGGAAAAGGTATCAAAAACTTTAAAATGTTGACTGTCAGTAAAGGCCTAGCTTAGATTAGAAAGCATTTAGCAGTAAGCTACATCAACACTACTTCTTAACCTTCTTCAGCAGGTAATCCAGAACAAGGCTGAAAGGCCAGAAGCTAAAGGATTCCCAACTGGCAAGACAGAAATAACAAAAGGTTAATAAAGTACAGAACTCTAGAATGCTATCAGAGGTGTGACTAAGTGTGGAGCCCAGTTTAAGAAAATACATGTAGGCCATTAGCTCCCAAGGGCAGAGAATTGGCCTATACTGTACTCTGCTATATCCTCAGTGGCCAGGACAGTGCAATAAATATTTGTAAGTGAATGGATGACGGAAAGATGGAAGAGAAGAAGAGGACAGGTGATAGAAGAAAAGCACAAGGGATTAGATACTCCAAATATAGCAAGAGTCATATGACAGGCTGGTGAGAGGGAATGCTAGGAGTTAAACATCTGAGGTTTTTACAAGCTCCACAACAGACCATGGAATAGTTTTCACAGATTTGTGATACTAGAAACTTGAAGAAAACAGTTCGCCTGAGTCACAATAACCTAGTTGAATAGTTGTAAGAGGATAGTGTGATTATTATTGTCTATTTCTATCTTTGATATTGCTTATCAAAAAATTTAAAATATATATTGCTATAGAATTACAACATTAATTTCAAATGTATAATTTGGCCAACCACTAGAATTTATTCTTCAAAATATCTATTTTTAACAGCCTTGGGAGGAAAAATGTACAATAAAAAAAGTTGAGTTTGATTTTCATGGCTCAAAACTAAACAGACTGCATTATATGCATGTGGAATTCTTTTTTTCTTTTTTTTTTTTTAAATAGAGACAGGGGCTCACTGTGTTTCCCAGTCTGGGCTCAAACTCCTGGGCTCAAGCAATCCTCCTGCCTTGGCTTTCCAAAGTGCTAGATTACAGGTGTGAGCTACTGTGCCTGTCCTACATGTGGAATTCTAGTATTATCTTACCATCCTCCAAGAACTGGATATCAGATGTGTCAAGATTATGATCTGTTTCAAATAGTTGTTTCCCTAAAAAAAAAAAAAAGTTTAATTCAAATGGCATAGCTTTTCTCCATTTTCACTACAACACTTTAAAAAATCCAAGAAAGCGAGTTTGAAAACCTTTTTCTCTGTGAATTTCAATAAATTTTTGAACCTATTCAATAGCTAAGTGGCATGTGAAATGTAACTGCATTAAGATGAAACAAGTGAAAAACCAGTCCTCCTGAGGGTACTAGAAAAACAAATGGGTTTGACTCTTCTAAGATGTGATCCTGAATATCCTTCTATTGCAGGATCTAACAATTATAATACTAATATCAAAGATAAGCCATACAAATTAATTATAAATTATGAGTGCAGAAATATAATCTTATAGATATGTTTTCTCTTTTTTGTCCTAGACGCCTATATACATTATTTTCTTATAGAAATCTGTCCAAATGATCCTCTTGCTATATAAAAAATAATACAGGAGGGTTTAGGAAGAACAGGAATGGCAAAGGAATCATACCACTTAATTTATTTTTTCCTGCTTGTTCTTCTTCTTTCATCCTTTTCTTTTTAATTTCCAAGAGTTCTGCATCAAACTTGGCCTTCCAATTTAAGAAATTCTCAATTGTAACTGGAGTGCCATGGAATAATTGCTTAGAAAATTAAAAAAAAAAAAAAAAAAAAAAAAAAAAAAAAAAAAAAAAAAAAAAAAAAAAAGGGCACCAGATTAATGAAACAGCAGTTTTAACAAATAAATTCTAATGGTATCTTCTAAACAAATAAACACAACTCCTTATAAGAAAAACAGAAAAATTAATTTTTGAAATGTTGAAATATTTAATCTGATTTCTGCCTGCGCTGTCTACTCTTATTGGTTTTGGCAACATACTTTGGAGTAGTCCATTTTTTTTCTTATTACAAAAAACAAAGATAATATACAATGTATTCACTGTATTTACCACCATAGCTATTCATTGTTAAGAAAAAAGCTGTTACTGTCAAATATAGTTTGGCTGTGTCGTCACCCAAATCTCAACTTGAATTATGTCTCCCAGAATTTCCATGTGTTGTGGAAGGGACCCAGGGGGAGGTAACTGAATAATGGGGGCCTGTCTTTCCTGTGCTATTCTCGTGATAATAAGTGTCACCAGATCTGATGAATTTACCAGGGGTTTCTGCTTTTGCTTCTTCCTTTTTCTCTTGCCACTGCAATGTAAGGAGTGCCTTTCACTTCCCATGATTCTGAGGGCTCCCCAGCCATGTGGAACTGTAAGTCCAATTAAACCTCTTTTTGTTCCCAGTTTTGGGTATGTCTTTATCAGCAGCATGAAAATGAACTAATACACTGTCAGTACTGATATATTTTAAATACACATCAATTTCTAATGCTAAATCTTTGCTTTATCACTTCATTTCAAAATCTGAGGCTTTCTTTACAATTAGTAACTATTTAATTCACTGTAGTATAGGGGAGTTATAATTCTAAACTCTATACTAAGCTTGTCCAACCCATAACCTGTGGACCACATGCAGCACAGGACAGCTCTGAACGCGGCCCAACACAAATTTGTAAACTGTCTTAAAACATGAGACTTTTCTGCATTTTTTTTTTTTTAGCTCATCAGCTATTGTTAATGTATTTTATGTATGACCCAAGACAATTCTTCTTCTTCCAATGTGGCCCAGGGAAGCCAAAAAATTGGACACCCCTGCTCCCATATCATAGGTGAAATTATTTATACTTCTTGGTCTTACTCGCATGAGTTTTACTAACTTCTACTGATTATCATTCATTACTCAAACTATGCTACCAATCAAATGAGGGACTTCTACAATTTTATTCTTAATAAAACTTCACTAAAATTTACTTTTGTTTATTTTTGTGATTTCCAAAAAAAAAAAAAAAAAATGCTATTGATCAAAAAACCCCTCAAAACCCAACCAAGCAACCAAAACTGATTTAAGAATAAAAGAAAACAAGGCTTGTAAATATACCTTTTCAGCTTCTTCTGCTTCTTTTTCTTTTTGTTTCTTTTCTTCTTCTCTTCTAGTTTTTATCTGATCTACTATTTCATTTAATTTTTCTTGCACAGCTGTCACTAGAGTAAAGATCATCACCATACCAAGATTTTCTTCAGCCTATGTAACAAAAAAAGGTGATGAATACTACACTCTCAGAAAAAACAGAAATCCATACATTTATAATGATTACCAATTCAGTTATACCCTATGTTCATACAGTTCAATAAAAGATCATTTAAGTGAGCATATACATATAAATAATGTTATTTAAAGTCATATAAATGTGCCATATCCAATCTGAAACAGATACTGTATTTCAGCAAATTCTATTTAATAATCATATAGGTAAAACTCAGAGAACTATTTCCTATAGTAATTGGTAACATCCTTTCTCCAGCATGTTTTCAATATTTAGTTCTTTTTGACTATTTTAAGAGCTGTGACAATGAACTGCATTTTGAGGCCAGAGTGAGTTCTAAAATAATATAATAATAAAGAATGTAGGAAATACTGTAGTTTATCTGTATCAACCTGTTTTTTTCTTTAGATTTGAAATAGTTTAAAACCAAATATAAAAGCATCTCAAACTCATAAAAGGAATATAAACTCAAAAGGCTATTACGAAGTTGGTCATTTGAAGGCAGAAAAAAATAAGATAGGGGTCCAAAGAGGAAGACAAAAATAATTTTAAAATCTACTAGCCAGACAGTGCTAGAAGCAGAGATTACTAAGCATTTCTTTGACAGGGCTGCCCTCAGCAGCATCTGAGTAGGTATTGCATCTTCTGGGCCCTCTATGAGCACTAGGCTTCAAGCTAGCTCCTACAATCCAACTCACTGGGGCTTTTCTGTGGTGTTTCTATGCTAACCATCCTAAATCTATGACTAAAAAGCCTCTCTCCTGAGTGGCAGACCCATATTAAAACTGACTATTTGGTGGCAGAGACTTGATGTCCTACAGTCATCTCAACACAAAACCATCATCTTCTCCTCAAAACTTATTCCTGGATCATTAGTCTCCGCAAATCGTACCACCACCTACCCAGCCTGAACATCCCCATCCCATCATAAGCTTCATCACTGCTTCTTATCTATTCTTAAATGTCATATAAGTCTGTCCATCAACACTGTTATAAGCCTAGTCCAGAGCACCATCATTTTCAGCTTGGAATACAAGAAACTCCTCTTCTTAAAAGCTATAATCTTAAAACTTAACATCGACTTCCCCTGACCACTCAATACACAAACACACACACACACACAGAGACACACAAACACTCACACAAAGAAAGAAAGAGAGAGAACTAATCAATTTACAAACCGAAGCACCACAAAACTGATCTAATCCATCTCTTGCTTAAAACCCCTTCATAGCTGCGGAAACCAATCAGGACCAAATCCACATTTTGTGAACAGTTTAGAAGACCCTTGAAATAAGAAAGTAGCCTCTTTAGTTCCACCACTTATCACCACCAACTTCAAATCCTAAATTCAATGAATTTTGTGTGACTAGAAGTTCTAGAAGAAATAATCAATCAATTGCTTTTTCTCACCTCAATATCCTTTAACAAGTTTGTTCCTCTACCCTAAAATTTTTCTACTCTATTTCCTGGCCAACTCTTCCCACAGTTCTCCGTTCCTCCTGGAAGCTTCTCCAGAACTTTGTCTATGTCAACCCATACAATCCTATCTTTCAAAAGTTTGTCATAGCATTTTTCCTACAGAATGATTTCCAATTTGCTAATCCACACTGCTCACCAGAGAATAAAATCTATGAGACCAGGGATGGCGTCTTTCTTGTTCACTCAACCTAATGCTTGATACATTTCAATGACAAAACTTTCATATCCAATAGAAGTAGAATGTCTTCTAGAAAAGTTAAGTATGCCAATAGAAAAGCAAAAAAATTAATCATTCACATGGAAATTGCACAACTTGGAAGTCATCCTAGTTCCACATCACTAGTATTTTTAAAATGCAAAGTATAACATTACATTCTATTTTCACCTTGTCATCACTATAAGTCCAAATGAAAATATCTGGTACTAGCAAATGTGGGAAAACAGATACCACAATGACTACAGTGAGATCATAAATTGGCACAACTATTTTGAAGGCCAATTTGGCAGTATGCATGAAATTCTTAAGATTGCATTCCCTTTAATCCAGCAATCCTACTTCTAGGAAACATGGAATTAGCATACTCATCAGTAATTCATTATTTTCATTTATTCAACAAATATTTGACTGTCTATTATGTTCCAGGCACTAAAAGTACAATGGAGAACCTGCTCTAAAGACTTACAAATAGTGATACATAAGAATGCTGAAATATTATATATTAATTCTTAATTATATGTTAATTATATATCAGGCAAAAATGAGACAACTGTAAGTTGTCTTAAAAAAGATATAAGTAATTACATATACAATGAAATTCTAAACTATTAACAAATATAATGACTCATACATATTTAACTGAAATGAAAAGATGCTCATATGCATTATGTGAAAAAGAGGATATTATAAAACATTATGCATAAAATGATCTAACTTGTCTGGGAGAATATATATAAGCATAAGAAAAAAAGTCTGACACTAGATCACATCAAAATGTTAACAGACAATTATACATGGTTGGTACAATTAAATATAATCTTTATTTTCTTCTTCTCTGTGATTTTTTGTATCTTCTGAGTTCCTGTAATATGAATTTATTAGTTTGATATCAGAAAGTTACAACAATTATTTTTTGGAAAACAAAGGACAAACATTCCCTGAATACACTGGAGGCTCACGCAGGTGTCAAAGAAATCAAAACAGCCTTTTTGAAAGGAGACGTTTCTGTGCAAATAAAATATTGAACACATGGGCAAATTCACTTAGACTGAATAATTTACATTAAGGTGTGACTGACTGAATATGGCATAACCATCCCTGGTTTTCTGCAATGTTTTAAAAGATGTTCGAAAAGCTGGGCAAAGTGGTTCATGCCTATAATCCCAGCACTTGGGGAGGCTGAGGCAGAAGAATCACTTGAATCCAGGAGTTCAAGGCTGCATGAGCCATGATCATGTCACTGCCCTCCAGCCTGGGTGACAGAGCAAGACCGTGTCTCAAAAAAAAAAAAAATGTTAGAATTAGCATAATTTCATGCTAGGTAACAAGATGAATAGGGCCCAGGATCAGCAAAAATCCCTATCTGATATATCTTCTTTCACTCCTCATCATACAACAGCTCCAGATATTTTTATAATATCAACATTCCAGTGACCACTGGTCTTTAGAATATGTAAGTCACATCGAAGGTGGAGATATGCTTTCTGTCAATTCTTCTTAGAGTAAACAAATAAAGGTAGGACTTCTGACTTTAAGATGGTGGAGTAAGAATTTTACGTCCCTCCCTACTCTCTACTCTGAAGAACCCCATGAAAACTCTCTACCCAAGCTTGAGTATATTTTAGATACCTGCCAAGCCCAGATTACAGGTAGCCTATCCCACAATAATATTAATCCAGTAAAAACTTTTTTTAATGCCCTTTTTTTCCACACAAGCCTCCCCTCATAGGGGTCATAAGCCATTATTGTTGCTTGTAAGCTTTGAGAGGAGTAGAGATGGTAGAAAGAAAATCAATCATCAGTCCTTTTCCCAGACTGCAGGCAACCAGTATGTAAAAAGTCATAGGGAAAAGGAGTTTTAAGTTTTTTATAAAGTTGAAAATTGTAGCTATATATGGGACTAAACATTCTAAGAATCCAATCAAAACACTCTTTTACAATTTAAAGCATCCGTTGGACATTTTATCACTCATGAATGAGCAAAAAAGCCATGAGTTTACTGACTGAGTTTCAAGCAGGGGCAATGGAACAACTTCTATTAGTCAAATTTTAAATAGACAGTAGGAAACAAAAATAAAGATGCTCTGTGATTAAGTATCATCAATTCTGCTTGGTTAATGTACTATTTACACACCTAATAGCATTTTCTAACTTGAAATTAATATATAACATTTAAGGCCAATAAATGCTGCTACAAAACACAAAATTATTATTTCCTTACCTGTAATGCTAGTAATTTTAAAATGTCTGAGATATCATTATCTTCTAGATTTTCCTGAGAGAATATTTCATAAAGGGGAGCTTCATCTGGGTATTTTTCACTGTATGTAAACTTGAGGGTAGCCTGGACAGCTAAGACACAAGGTAAGAGTTTGATGTGAATACCTTAAAAGTATAGAGGTAGATATTTTTGTTGAATCAGTAAAAAGTAGCACAACAGATTTTCCTATAAAGAAAACAGGTTATTAAGAGACCAGATGGATGATCACTAAACAACATATACCACAAAGAGATAAGTGAAACAAATCATGGAATACCAAAACTCACACTTACACATGAAGTACATTTACCACTTATTGGTATTTTACCATACTGCATGTCTGAGAAAGGGGACGGATAAATGCCACTTTTTAAAAACCTTTCCTAAGATAAACAAAAGGTACGGAATACAACGCATTTTTAAAAAGTACTACCACAGGCTAATTTTTAGCCTCTACCAGAGCCAGTTCCTACCTGCAGAAGATCTGGCTGTAGCCTTGGAATCTATATTCAAATTCACACAATGCCAGCAGGGCTAATTAGTGGCTGAATGGCACCATTTTGACCTCAACAGTTTAAAAGGTTATATGGGAAACCTTTAAATTAATTCACCTATATATTCTCACTCACTCTTTTAGTCTGTGTCAATTTACGGATTTCATACCTGTACACAAGTAAAACTCTTATGGGTATGTCAGTGCAAGGTGCCTCTCTGCAGCCCAGACCATTCTCAATTCAACCAAGGAGTCTGCAACTAAGCAGTAGTGCTAAACATTTTCTGTTAAGACTATTACTTGCAATGATCTTTTTCCCAGATGCCATCTTTTATGCAACTTGCATTTTATAGTATTAAAATCTACTGATTTTGATACAAATTAATACTGCTCTTCATGGATAAGAAAAAATAAGCACCTTAAAATTTGCAGGTTTGACATTTTGTTTTATTTTTCATGTTATGATATTAACAAGGAATTTTATGAACCAAAAATTGCAAAAGATTAAGTATTAGAGGTCAGTAAGAAACAGTATACTTCTGTTCATTCCTTTATTAGCACACTTTAGTTTTATTGCTGGAACAAGATGTTTTAATTTTTTTATTTTTTATTTTTATTTCATCTCCAGCTTTCTTGAGGTACACCTGACAAATAAAAATTGTATATATTTAAAGTGTACAATGTGACATTTTGATATACATATATATTGTGAAATAATTACCAGAACGAAGCTAATTAACATCACCTCACATCATTATGATTTGTGTGTGTGTGTGGTGGGGGGGTGTGTGGTGAGAACACTTAAGATCACCTCTTTTAAGAAATTTCAAGTATACCATACAGTATTATTTATAATTAATTATAGTCACTACATTGTACATTAAATCCGCAAACTTATTAATCTTCCATAACTGAATGTTTGTACACTTTGGCCAACATCTCACCATTCCTCCTACCTCCCAGACTTTAAACAATCAATGCATTAAAGAAGAACTTAAAGGGAATTTTAAAAGAATCTTGAGACAAAGGAAAATGAGGAATATGACCAGGTGCTGGAGTTCACGCCGGGAATCTCAGTACTTTGGACAGCGAAGGTAGAAGGATAATTTGAAGTCATAAGTTCAAAACCAGCCTGGGCAACAGAGTGAGACCCTGTCTCTACAAAAAATTAAAAAATTGAGCTGGGCATGGTGGCATGTGCTTGTAGTCCTTGCTACTTGGGAGGCTGAGGTGTGAGAATTTCTTGAGCCCAGGTGCTGGAAGCTGCAGTGAGCTAAGATAGCACCACGGCACTCTAGCCTGGCCAACAGAGTAAGACCCTTGTCTCTAAAAAATATTTTAAATTTAAAAAATTTTTTCAGAAAGAGAAAATGGAAACACATCATACCAAAACTTATGGGTTGAAGCAAAAGCTGTTCTAAGAGAAAAGTTAGTAGCAATAAATCCCTACATCGAATAAGAATAAAGATCTCAAAAAACAATTTAACATGCCCCTCAAGGAACTAGAAAGAGAAAATACAGGGCATAAAATCAGCACAAAGAAAATAATAAAGATCAGAACAGAAATATATGAAATAGGTTAGAAAAACAATAGAAAATATCTAACAAAACCGTTAGGCTAGAAAAAAGAGAGAAGACTAAAATAAGTAAAATCATACATGAAAGAAGATATTTTACAACTGATATCAGGGTTGAAAAGATATTGGTTATAGGATAAAAAGTTTCAGACAGGATGAATAAATTCAGATCTTCTGTAGTGCATGATTACTACAGTTAACAATAATGTATTGTATACTTAAAAATTGCCAAGAGATTAGATATTAAACGTTCTCACCAAAAAATTAAAAAGTAAATTTAAAAAATAAATTTTACCATTGTGGCAAATTAGTTTTTTCCTCTTTTCTATCAATAGAGTTTTATACTTGATTAGTTTCACGTGCATTATATCCTGAGAATATTCTTTAACACGTAAAGAGTTGCAAATTGATTTTCACCATGCAGGTATATTAAAGTGCATTTAACCATTTAAAAAACTAAGGTTTCTTAAAAAATAACATTTACTTATTCTACTATAAGTAAAAGACATTCAGTAGTAAAAATTTAGAAATAAAATAAGGGAAAAATCGAATCACAAATAATCCCATTACCAGGAAGGGATCACTATTTCCATTTCGGTATATTTTAAGTACCTTAAAAATATTTCAAGCTAGGCACAGTGGCTCACATCTATAATCCCAGCTCTTTGGCTGAGGTGGGCAGATCATGAGGTCAGGAGAGCGAGATCATCCTGGCTAACGCAGTGAAACCTCGTCTCTACTAAAAATATTAAAAAATTAGCCAGGCACGCCCAGCTACTTGGGAAACTGAGGCAGGAGAATTGCTTGAATTTGGGAGGCGGAGGTTGCAGTCAGCTGAGAATGTGCCATTGCACACCAGTCTGGGCAACAGAGCGAGACTCCATTAAAAAAAAATTCAAAAAATTACATTATTTTTATCTGCATATACTTACATTTTCACATATAAATATAAAATCTCAGAAATAACATGAGAATCCTTTGAAGTCTTTAAATATTCAATACAAGCATATTTCCACTTTTAAGATCAAATTACCGTGTCAACTAATGTGACTAAAATAGAAATAAACTTCAGATGACACTCCTCCAAATATCTCAAAATTTAATTTATTTCATTTTAATTATCTGGTTTTATAGCTACATTATTTCAAAAGAAAGAGAAAGAAACATGCAGATAGGTGTATATCCAACCCCATTTATAACAGCAAATGTCCAGTAAACAATCTAAATGTTCAAAGAGAAAAACAGCCATGAAAAAAGAACAATCACTCAAAGGAACCACACAACCACTGAAGTATGTTTGCATGCAAAGTATTGCTTTGAACAAAACAAAAATCTCCTACCTTTTCTCCATCTGCTGTAATATTAATATTACCATTTCACTTTTAAAAACTAAGCTTATTGTGCCAGACTATATTTCATTAATTTCCTTTCTATTTCCCTAGGAGTCATGTTCACACAGTAAATTCTAACTAGAAACATACAACATTCATAGTAGATTCATAATATCCCCTTAGGACCTCCACACTGGCAATATCAAGCATAATGGCTACAGAATAAGAGAAATTCCTGAGAAGCTTAGAAAAACCACAAGTATTTTTTATGAGACTTACTTTCATCATTTTCTCCAGCCTCAGATGTCACAGTAATGGTGAAGCTGGGTGGACTTTCTGATAATACTGCAAGAAAATACAGACAGAAGTTACTGAAATGCTTTCCAAGGCAGATGCTTTTTCCTTATTAGCAAATTATCAATACCCAGCCCTGGAAACTGGTCCCTAGGCTATATCTCCATTTCCACAAATACAGACTGGACAGAACACTGAAATGATAAAATTATCATCAACTTTCTATTTAAATGGAGGGCTATCTTTAATCTGAAAAGAAATACCTATGGTAGGTAATACTTTTGGAGTTTTACCAAGTCAACTGAAATCATTAGGTAGTTTACCTTTTATTTCAAAATCTCCACCTATACATGGAAAATTACATTCTTAAAAAATCCCAACATAATGGCAAAGAGTTTCATATTTCCCACCTGAAACTACCCATTGATATTCATGTTTCACTGATTTTTATACTTATATATTGTGAGATATAACTCAGAATCTCCATGACAAACAGTAATAGTGATTTGTTAAAGTTTGTGCCTTCTTCCTGTCCTTCTCTACCACATCATCTCAAACCAAACTATTATTTCACAAATGCTTACTAAGCCTCTACTGTCTTTCACAGAATTTAAAATGAATTAGCTATGAATTTATGAGCAAGACACATAAATCAACATTTATATAAATAACAAAGCTTTGTATGTCATTTTATAGCCTATTGTCTATCTAATGCTAATTTCTGTTTATTATCTATTCCCCACAAGAACACTATAACAACTCTATGAGAGCTCCTAGATCAGTATCTGGCAGTATCGAGAGAATTAATATTGCCCCAATAAAAGAAGAACCAAATGAATAAAATGAAGCAGGAAAAGCAGTAACAAAGAAAACTTGTATTCAGAACCATTTGGAAAGAAAACAAAGAACTTCAAGCTACCAGGGATGGCTGCTAAGCCTATGAGAAAAGCCTAAGCCTCACTCCCTGTCCAGGAAGCACTGGTACCTGTCCAGGTTGGCGGCAGCTATACAAACTTTTTCAGAAATGAAAGAGCAATGGATCACTGAAGAAGTAATCACGGAAACTACTGAACTTTTCCTACCTGGGAACTTTCTAAAGCCATCATAAATACATATTATCAACAGTATTTTCTGGCTGGGCACAGTGGCTCATGCCTGTAATTCCAACACTTTGGGAGGCTGAGCAGGTAGATCATTTGAAGCCATGAGTTTAAGACCAGCCAGGCCAACATGGTGACAACCCACCTCTACTAAAAACACAAAAATTAGCCAGGCATGGTGGTGTATGCCTGTAATCCCAGCTACTCCAGAGGCTGAGGCACAAGATTAGCTTGAACCTGGGAGGCAGAGGTTGCAGTGAGCCAAGATTTTGCCATTGCACTCCAGCCTGTGTGACAGAGCAAGACTCTGCCTCAAAAAAAAAAGAAAAAACAAAAACAAAAACAAATATTTTCAAGACAGATGTCTTCATTTTAATTGAATTTAAGGTACTTTAAGAAATGATGAACACCTGTGATTACTAGAAAAGTTTTAGATAAAACACTCAGTAGAGTCATATGTTAATAGGTCTTGGGTAGTCCAGTCCATGCTGAAAAAACTTTCAGCTCACTGAAAGGTTGTTATAATAGAGCCATAATATGGTTGGCCTTGTCTACATTTTAACAAATATATGTAAAATATAGTTGATGTATTTCATTCTTATTTCCTTTCATGATGAACTTTAACATTTACGAGTCATGAAATGTAAACACTGCAACTATAGAAAGAGGGGATCAGCACAATGACATTCCAATGTATTACCACTTTCTGTTTTTTTGAGACAAAATCTCACTCTGTCACCAAGCTGGAGTGCAGTGGCATCTCAGCTCACTGCAACCTCTGCCTCCTGGGTTCAAGCAATTCTCTTGCCTCATCCTCTGGAGTAGCTGGGATTACAGGTGCATGCCACCACGCCCAGCTAATTTTTGTATTTTAGTAGAGATGGGGTTTTACCACATTGGCCAGGATGGTCTCGATCTCTTGACCTCATGATCTGCCTGCCTCAGCCTCCCAAAGTGCTGGGATTACAGGCATGAGCCACCACGCCCAGCCTCTTATTACCACTTTCTAGGACTCCATTAGGCTTTTGGTCAGGGGTAACCAATATTCAGTTACAATAGGTAACATTTATTGAGCATCACTTTGTTCTTGTGCGATGCTATGCATTTACACGAAAATTCTGTACTTCTGGCACAAGACCATGATTTACACTATTACTATATTCACTAAATTTTCAACACCATCCAGTATGAGACATACTTTATGTACCACTAAGAAAGAAAAATAAGCTGCCAACTAAACCTACAAGTAACTGATTATAAGACAAGTTCACATTTCAGAGATGTTAAATGTAAAATGTCTCCGAAATAATTAAATATACTATCACCCCAATTTTACAGATGTGAAAACTGAGATACAGAGTTTTTCAATAACTTGTCCAAGGTTATCAGCTAGTAACTGAACGAACAGAATAAATGATAAACAGTATCATTTAAAAAGAAAAACACATTTCCAGCTGAGAAATTCCAAGCAAGTCATTTGAGCTAGGCTGTGAATCATGGGTGGCATATTGGCAAGGAGAGATGGAGAAAGGAAATGTATTTGAGGGCACCATGGAAGCAAGAGTATAATGGTACGAAAGCTAAAGATATATATAGGGAATAAGAAATTATTCCGTTTGCTGAACTTATATGTGAGCGAAGAAAACTAGGTGAAAACACAGTTGAGAGTTTAGTTGTGCACAATCTTTTTGTTAGCAATAATATGATCAGAATTGTTCTCAAAACATAGGAAGACAAATCTAACAACAGTGTACAAAATGAAAGGAGGGAAACAACTATAGGCAGTATGAAACTAAGTCACTATTGCAATAATCCAGGCAAAGGTAATGAGGTCCTGAACTAGGACGGCAGCAATGGGAATAGCAGAAAACAGTGGTGGTGATATTTTGAGTTGGCAGGCGGCAGGGTGAGAAAAATGCCACTAACAAAAATGAGTAATAACAAAAAAATCAGACATGATATATTTTAAGGACAGTTTAAGACTTTCAGTTGGAAGTGTTGAACATGCAATCAGAAATGGGTGAATGGTGCTAAAGAGAGCTGGGCTTTAATTCAATTTGGGATCACCTACACAGAGGTGATAGCTAAAGTCATTAGACTAAATGAGATCATCAGAAATGTAATACAGAGAAATAAATGCCAACATAAGCTTTGTAAAGAACTCTCAATTTGGAGAACAAATTAAGAGGAAGTAATAAAAAACTCAAGAGATAACAATGTTATGAAAATCAAGGGAAGTGAGTTTCAAGAACAGGTGAAGAATAATTCTCCTCATTCTACCCAGTCCCGCCCACTGTCTCTTGTCACAGTTTCCTAGCAAGCAGATTTTATCACATTGTTACATGCTTACAGCAGCAGTTCCCTATCTATATACAGTGTGTTGGAATGAGTTGTGAGAAAGGGGTAGAATCACAGCCAACACACTCAAAAACATGTGTAACTCGAAGTCTATTTTATTTGTGAAGCCACCCCATCTATTAGAATCTGGGTCTGATGTGGCAATGTCTACAATATGTACTGTATGGTCCGTGGGGGAATAAAATGGGCGATGAACTATTGCGTCGTCAGATCACATCTAAATCCCTGACAAGGCCCTCTGTGATGTGGCCCCAGCTTATTGGTTAAGTCTCATTTTCCATGACTCTCACTTCTCACTCTATGTTTTAGCAATACCCAAACCACTTGTCCTCTGAACATATTCTGATCCCTCAGAGTACTGCTTCTGCATATGTTGGTCCCAGGCTGGAATACCCTTTCCCTGGCCTCATCTACTTGTCGTCATTACTCCTAAAAATTATCTGAAACAACTCAGACCATCCCCTCTCCCTAAATTTATCTGATGTCTGTTTCCCCAAGCTGAGCTCCTAAAAAATTACATATAATAACTATTTGGTAAATGAGGAAACCAAAAGATATAGGAATGTTAGCAAGAATATTAGTGATATGCCAGACCTGGGGAGCCAGATAGAACATGGAGGCAAGATGGACCAGAAAGAAACTGATGAACTATCAATCCATGAGAAATCATGAGACGCATGTTCAGTAAATGCGTGGGAACAAAAGTACTATAGGGCTACAAAGGTTATGGAAACGAGTAATTTTCAGTGGCCAAAATGTTAGCAATGGCATTTTCAAGGTGTGGCTATGCCCATGTGCGGCTAAAAGAAAGTGGAAATCAAAATCATTAAAGAGATAAGAAATTATGAAGCCATATTAGTGGAAAAATTAACAACTAAGATGGTATTTCTAGTAAAGAGTATCATATGTTTGTTTTACAATTATAAGATATAAAGTATTTTCACTTACATTATTTCCAATTAAACAGATACAGAGACTAAGGCTTGGAGAGGCTAAGTGATTTGTCCAAGGACGCTACATAAAGTTACCACTATAGAGAAAAAAAATGTGAAGCAAGTAAAACAAAGAAAAAAGATATTGGGAAGTACTGCTAAAAGTCCCCCAACATCCACTCTCTCCTTATTTAAGTCATGCCATTTTTAACTGAGCATAATGACTACCCAGAATGAAGACATTTCCTGGTTTCATTTCCAGCTAGCCCTTACAAAATGTCTAAGTTCTCACTAAAAAGATGGAAGTAGATGTGACCTTTGACAGTTTCCAAGAAATTTCCTTAAGAAACTGCCATTTTTTACTGCTTTGTTGCTCTTCATTCCTTTATTTATTGTACTTCCTGGAGAGGGAATGTTACCATCTTTACCACAAGTGTGAGACTACATCTTAGGGATGACAGAGAGCTATATTAGAAGATGGGTCCCTGAGGAATTCTTGAAATAGAGCTGCCACACTCTGTTTTATGTGCAAGGGCAAAATAAGTTTTTACCTTTTAAAAAACCAATATTATCGGGGATTTTCTGTCACAGCTGAACCTAATCCTATTAAAATAAATATTTTTTAAAAACAGAAAAAGGAATAATATTTCAAAGTTGGACAATAACTAAAATATGGATGGGAAAGTTACTTAATTGGATTTGCAAAAATAGATAATTCCTGAGTTCTGATAAAGGACTAATCCATTTCCATGCATTACTGTGAGTTAGGGTAAGTAGAAGAAAGATTAATCTTCACTAAGGATGCCAGACTTCCACCCCTGTAAGTAAATCAAAATACTTTTGAGGGCCAGGTATGGTGATTCACGCTTGTAATCCTAGCACTCTGGGAGGCCAAAGCCGGTGGATCGCTTGAGACCAGGAGTTCAAGACCAGCCTGGGCAAAATAGCGAGACTCCGGGCTCTACTAAAAATACAAAAATTAGCCAAGCATGGTGGCACATACCTGTAATCCCAACTCCTTGGGAGACTGAGGCAGGAGAATCGCTTGAACCTGGGAGGTGGTGGTTGCAGTGACCCAAGATCATGCCACTGCACTCTGGCCTGGGAGACTCTTTCAAAAAATAAAAAAAAATTTTTTTTGAGAAAAAGATTAAACCAGGGCCAGGTGCAGTGGCTCATGCCTATAATCCCAGCACTTTGGGAGGTAGAGCTGGGAGATTTGCTTGAGGCCAAGAGTTCAAGACTAGCCTGGGCAATAGAGCAAGGCCTCTGCTATTATTAAAAAGTGAAAAAATTAGCCAGGCACAGTACTGCAAGCCTGTAATTCCAGCTACTCTGGAGGCTGAGGTGGGAGGATCACTTGAGTCCAGAGGTTCATGGCTCCAGTGAAGTGACTGGGGCACTGCACTCCAGCCTGGGTGACAGAGTGAGACCTTGTCTTAAAAAAGGAAAGAAAGGAAGTAGGAGGGTGAGGGAGGAAGGGAGGGAAGGAGGGAAGGAAAGGAGAGAGGGAGAGAGAGAGTTAAAAGAGGGAAGGAGGCAGGGAGGGAAGAGAGAAAGAGAGAGAGAGAGAAGAAAAGAAAGAAAAAGAAAGAAAGAAAGAGAGAGAGAGAGGGAGGGAGGGAGGGAGGAAGAGGAAAGAAAAGAAAAGAGGGAGGGAAGGAGGGAGGGAGGGAGGGAAGGGAAAGAAAAGAAAAAAGAGGGAGGGAAGGAGGGAGGGAGGGAAGGAAAGAAGGAAGGAAGGAAGGAGAAAGAAAGAAAGAGAGAGAGAAAGAGAGAGAGAGAGAAAGAAAGAAAGAAAAAGAAAGAAAGAGAAAGGAAGGAAGGAAGGAAGGAAGGAAGGAGGGAAGGAAGAAAAGAGAAAAGGAAGGAAGGAAGGAAGGAAGGAAGGAAGGAAGGAAGGAAGGAAAGAAAAGAAAAGAAAGAAAGGAAAGAAATGTTGGCCACAGAGGAAGGGCAGGAGAGACATTAGGGGACAGATGGTGGTGAAACTGATAGAATTAAAGTTTTGTCAAAAACAGGGATAATAGAGTTAGCAGCTAAAAGGTACATTATGAGATACACAAATTACCTTTAGTTTCCACAAAAAACCAGAGACCCCGTATTAAAATAAGTGCCTCTGGTTGCTAGGGAGCATCTGACCTTTCAAAAAGTATGTCTTAGAACAAACTGCTTTTACAAGATGACTTCTTACATATCTCAAGACACAATTTTAACTGTCAAGTGTGAATGGCTGCTGCTTAGAGATACTGACAAAGAAATACAGGATTATGTACTCCTCTTTGTAAGGCAAACAGAATTAACGAAACTTGGCTTTTGGTTAACCTGATGCCAACAAATTTGTTCCAATAAAATTCCCCACAGCGAGAGATTTCAATACATAAATTGAAATAACCAAATTCTACTACCTTAGCAGGACCTTGTCAAGTGAAGCACTACTGAAGGAGAATGTGGTATCAGGAGAGTCCATTTATATTTTGGAAGACTAGTTGTTAGGAGGGTTGGATCAATGTGCAATCAAGCTACAGAATAGGCAAAAAGAAGAAATTGTATTATGATTTGTTATAATTCACAACAAATGCAACACTGGACCAAAAGTTCTTTGCAAATACTCAAAGCAATTAATCTGAGGTTAGGCTAAATCTATGTGCCTAGGTCTATGGGCTAGACTGTGCCTCTTCAGCATCCACATGGGGTCACATGTACTTAACAAATGCTTCTTTGTCAAGCACTCACCCCATTAAAAAAAGTATATCTACTTCCTTCATTAGCAGCATTGAGCATTTACCCAATTCAATAATTAAATGTGATTCAAAATGAAGTTATTAACTCACTCCCATTTAGTGTTCCTTGGCCAACTGACACAAGCAAGATCTCTTTCTTAAACCTGGCATGAGAATACAAAAGTATGGAATCATAAATACAAAAGAAGGCTATAAAACAGCAAATCTTGCAAATCCCCAAGATTTTAAAAGATCAAACATGGAAACATTTTGTCCCAAAGTCCTCTGTCTTTTCCCCAAGAAGTTTCATAAAGAACATGATCACTAGTAAGGCAAAGTTCCCTAAGAACTATAAATAAAGACATCTCATTTTAATTTATTTATTGCAAAGCTTGTAGAAATGTTGACAGGAGTTAGAGACAGATGGCTCAACTGATAGTGCAGAATACCTGAATGCATCAAAAGATTCATAAACTGTCTTTTATTACCATGGCTCAGAACCCTCAAGCACTTGGGCATCTGATAAGAATTTCACATAGCAAGCTATACCAGAGCTGTCAGAGCCTAGTACAATTTGAAATACCCACAAGATTGTTTCAGGGTTAAAAAAAAGATATCAGTTTTATAAATGCTTATATGCATAGGATTTAGTGAGGGATAGCTTATGTACAAAGAAAGGAAAAGAATAGCACATCCTATGCTTTCTTGACTCTGCCTACAGTTTTCACACCTATTATATTTCTAAAGTTCTAGAAATGACCAAACATGATTAAGAATATATCCAACAACTGACCCTATATTCTATTTTAGACATAGACATATAAGCAAGAATAGAGAAGGGAGCCAGACTCCATACACACTCACCCAGTTAATGACACTCTCAAACCCCTCTTCACTCATCCCCTTAACATCCTCACAGCACAGATGTGCTGCTGGTGAGAGAGAACATGAACAGGACTGGAGCTATACAGGGGTAGCTGAGAGACATCTGCCTGTTGGCAAAGCAGAATAAAATTTGCTACCATTGCAAGTAGTGGTCAAAAGGTGGAGCCAAGAAAACTAAGCTAAACAATGAAAGGGAGAGGGGTTGGAGTTTATGAGTTAAGGTATCATACCTTACACTATAAATTCTGACTATCAATGATAGACAACACTCAAAGGAAGGGATGGGGAATGTAAATGCACACACCTAAGTTCTACTCACTCACATTGGCTTTATTTGACCGGTTCTCAAATCTCAGATGAGCCATACTGATATAGTTATGTATCATGTTTATAATCATCCGAAGCATGGCTTGCTTAATAGAGAAACCTCTTGCTTTAAATTATACCTAATCAACTTCTCATTATAATATTTTACATTAGCCCAACCTACCAAGTAATCTTCCGCTCCCCCCAATCTCAGCTGGAGCTGAATCCCAAGTCCCATATGTCTGGAAGGTGAAAGAACAGGCAAGCATTCTGGACGTAACTCTTAGTACCAGCCCTGCGGCTAACTCGCTTGCGGACCGTCCAGAGCAAGCCACTTAGCTTTCCTGAGCCCTTATGACCTTGGCTTGTAGCAGGAGCCCCAGGCTAGATGATGTCTAATCTCCCTTCCAATCTAACAACCTATGAATTTACAGTGGAACAGAAATTTGGGCCACATTATCCATTAGGCATTCTGCTTCATGCCAGATTTTTTTTTTTTTTTAACATAAGAAAAGAAATCCGACAGACTTACGGGACTACGCTACTCTCAAAACAGATTTGAGTAACTGAGAACAGCATTCTGAATCCCATAAACTAAAACAATATCGTACGAAAACATTTTCTAGCACAGTAAAGGTGAAAATGTGAAAACTAACATCGTTGCGGCTCTGCAAAAAAGAATCTCAGAGTATCTCTTCTCTTAATGTATTATAAGTCTCGGGTTGCTGTAGGTTACACAGAAACCAAAGTAATCCTGACTCAATTTCCAGGCCTGACACCCTCCAACATCACTCTGACTTTTAGATTTCCGGGAACAAGCAGAGAAGGGGGAAAAAGTCACTGGGTTACTGGTAAGTGACTGAAGAACTTCCGAAGAGTCGGTAAGGTGGCCGCGCGGCCTCGTGGTCCCCTTTTCCATCCCAGCCCAGGAGGCCCAGAGCTTGGGCGGCTACTGCCCGTCCCACTCCTCCTCAGGGCGGCTGCGGGCTTGCGGCCGCGGAAGTCACCTGTGAAGGAGTCAGGGTAGATGGACTCCAGAGCCTCCAGCTCGTTGCGCTGCTCCTCGCCGTAATCTGTCATCGTGGCCCTTGCTCTTGCCCATGGATCGCCCAGATACCTAGGCGGCGCGCAGCTGCCGCGACAGCTGCCGCGCTGGGAGAGCTGGCGGCAGCCAGGCGGGCGCAGGCGCAGAGTCCTGGCTGGAAGGCCCAGGGCCCAGAGCCAGGCCTGGCCTGCTTAGCAACAGATACCCGCCGGCCTCCGCCTGCTCCCTACTTCCGCGTTCGACTCATTCTGCCTGGCCAGATGGGCACTGATTTGTTGCCTGTCCTATACTCGCTCGGGATTTGCTGGGACGGTGTGTGCGGTCTGGCATTCACCAAGGACACCTACAGCCAGCTCCTGGGCTTTGCAGGGCTTGAGCCCGAGAACCCTCACAGCGCGGCATCCTGGCTCGATGAGTCTGGACTGAAAGGCTGGCCTCGCGCGCCAGGGAAGGGTAGTGTCGCTAGTGGCCGGTCCTGGCCGAGGGTCGTCCGGTACCTTCACCTTTTCCGGTTTCCGGTTTAACCCTGTGGCCCAGGTGCTGCGGGCTGGCAACGTAGTGTGGATTAGTGGTGGGGTTCAGATTTCTGCGAGTCTCCAACTACCTATTGCTCCCATGGGAGTTGGGTGAGGGGCTGGGATCAGTGTCGATTCCAGTGGGCAGGGGCGCAGAAGCTCTGCACTGCCTTGAAAGGGTTCGGAACCGTCGGCCCAGCTGCTTAATAAGTCGGGGTGAATCGGGGGAGAGACTGGCAGTCCGGAGGTCTGGCCTCTGGGTTCAGATCTTATAGCTTAACTTCTGAATTTGTGAAATGAACGCAGTGGGATGTATTGTAGATCTCAAGATGTCTGTGATTGTGTATTTATGAATTGATGAAAGGAATGTAGATCTCAGTAATAACAGTTTTAATATGCAGTGTAAAAATTGCAGTACCCCGAGAAATGTTGAAAACCTTTAATTTGGTAATACCACTTCTAAGAATAAACCTGAGGCAGTAATATGTATCTGTGATCTCCAAGGTCATCGCAGTGATTACAAAGAAAATTTTCAAAGAACCATGATGGCAAAAACTGAGAAAATGACTAAATAAACATGGTTAACTTTATGAGAAGAATATTAACTGTTTATGTTAATAATAATAAAGGATCCCATGTTCCTTTATTATATTATTGTGCTAAGTCGGGAAAAAATGGAACATTTTAAGAAAATATACTCAAAAGGTGTTCCCCACTTTTTTGTATTTTTCTTTGTTTTGATTTCTGTTTATTAAAGCTGGTTTCACTTGTATAGTGGGAGGAACACTTTTTAAATGAAAGCTTCCTAATGATGAAGGCTCTGAAGCTTTCTCTTGTTGAAATGGTGATGTCCCATGTACAAGAAGGCACCTTGATCTTTTATTGAGGAGTACTGCTTACCTATAGCAGAGGAACACTTTAAAACAAACATACTCAGGCACACTTTGGTAGTGATTCCGTGTTTAAGGTAGTAAGGGTTGATTTCAGGCCTTCTTTTAAACTTTCAGGAAAAAAGTGAAGCCTCCTAACTATGGTGAGAATCAAATAAAATACATAAATTAACTTTGCAAATGTAAGTTGCTCATTTTTTTTTTTTTTCTTCTGTATCGCCTCAGTTCTGAGGAATTATAATGCTTTGCTATCGGGAAAGAGCTGCCAGAGGGAACAGCTAGTGCATAAGTTCTAAGCGGGGAGTCAAGGATGATTTTTGGCTGGAAGAACTGGAAAGATGAAGTTCTGTTGACCAAAATGATAAGTGAGGAAGACAGAAGCAAGGAAGGTGGTAGTACATCTTTAAATGACTACTGGATCAAAGAAAATCAAGCAAAAGTTTTTTCTCTTAAGAGAATAATAAAAACAACCTACCCAAAGAAATGAAATGCGGCAAAGCAACAAACATACAAGGTTGACGTTAGAAAAAGGTTTCTTTTGGTTGCCAATTGCAATGTAGTAAACGTAGTACCTTTTTATTTGCATTCCTATTTCATTAATAGAATTTTTGGTAAAGCATCCTTTTCAAATCTTATGTATCATTGTAAATCCTACATGCTTCAGAAGGCTTAAGAGTATTATTTTGATACTGGAGATGGCTGTCTTGTAATCATGAAAACACATCCCCAAATCTTTGTCACACCTACATAAGCATTATTAAGCATTTTTTAGTGAATCTCTAATTTCATTTTGACCGTAACACATGCTTAACAGAACACAGCAAGTCCCTTAACTGAAATTGTGGAAAATTCTCATGTGGCAAATTGACTTTCTTTTAGTGTTTCATTTTTAATTGGTAATTTAAAATGTTATAGACCAAGTGTGTTTTAAGCTTTGCAGGTAGGCAAATGGTGTGAGCCATTGATATGGTTTGGCTGTGTTCCCACCCAAATCTCATCTTGTAGTTTCCATAATCCCCGCGTGTCATGGGAGGGACCAGGTGGAGTTAGTTGACTCATTCGCATCCTGTGCTAGTGATAATGAGTTCTCATGAGATTTGATGGTTTTTTTTATAAGAGGCTTCCTTCTCGCTGAGCACTCATTCTTCATGCAGCCATGTGAAAAAAAAAAATGTGTTTGCTTCCCCTTCTGCCACGATTATGAGTTTCCTGAGGACTTCTCAGCCATGTGGAACCGTGAGTCAATTAAAACTCCTTTGTAAATTACCCAGTCTCAGTTATTTCTCCATAGCAGCTTGAGAACTACTAAAGCCGTCATAGGATCTGGAACCAAAACAGAAGCCTAGCCTTAGTCATTTGCAAGATACATAAGCTTATAAGATAATTCAGATAATATGAAATAATGTGTAAGCATGTTGTAAACTCCATATCAATATTATTTACCGGTAATTAAAAAAATTCATATACCTTCTTATAAGCATTGCTATTCTCTGTTCATCTTTATTGCTAATAAAAAATATGTCCCTAAGAGGTTTATCTTATTTGTATTCATCTTAGTTTCTTCTGCAGGTAATGCATATTAGCAATTGCTGTTTACTAATACTATCAGCCTTTAAAAATTCTTTTGATGTTTATTTTTACTTTTCTGTGCCGATGAGTTTTCTAGGCAATCACACTACTCTTAGAAGCTCAGTGTTGAGAATTCCTTATTTAATGCTTGATTTTAATTCTCAAACAGTTCCTGTGGCTAATGTTTCACTTACTCAGGTATCTCAAAGACTTTTCACCAGTCACAAGCACAAAGAGCCATATAAAATTTTAATTTTGTGTACTCTGAAGAGGGATCTCTTCAAGGGTAGCGAATCTCAGTAATGCTTTCCAGCCTAAGTCACTTCCCTGGCCTGCAATCTACTCTGACTCAGCACAGAAGCCAGAGTTACAAGCTAAACCAGTCCTTATCACTACTTTGCTCATAACTGCCCCATTCTCGCTCAGATTAAAGACCATGTGTTCATAATATAGGTCCTAGGGAATCTGACTTCCTGACCCTCACCCTCACCCTCACAACTCTGCTTTCTCTGTCTTAGTCCATTTTCTGGACTAAGCTTATAACGGAATACCTGAAACTGGGTAATTTCAGCAAGTTACTTTTTAATAGGTGACTATTTGCCACCGCATCAAAAGGTGTAAGTAGGAGAATTTGTTAAAAGTACATACAGTGAACATTATACTTTTTACTGCTTCTACCATCACCACAGATGGTGCAGATACTTGTTTTGACCACTGGGTGGCAGAAGAGGAACCCATACTTAAAATTCATGCATTCTGTTGCTGAAGTTCTGATATACTGAAATTACAGAAGCTTAATCATACTTGGTTGTTAGTACAGAAAAATAATTCAGGTCAGGAATAATACAATTTGCCTCTCTGGAAATACTATTCATTGCTCTTCGGTCCAGACGTCACAATAATGGATTTACACCCTCCAGCTCAAGAAGCCAGTTGTGTAGCTGTCTACGCTCCTCCACCTGCCAGTCTGTCCTTTATTGACTGATACTAAATTTCGATAGACTCTATTTAGAAGTTAAAGTTGTATCTCCACACCCTGTGTTTTCGAGATAGCAAATACCAACCTAGACTTGCATTCAGAAGGTCTTTGGTTGGCCATGATACTTCAAACTTTTTTAGGATTAATGTGATTTCCCTTTGTGCTACAAACCAAATGCAAGAAAACATCTAGTAAAATCACACTGTTGTTTATTATAATCGTGCATTAGAATTTCAAAAGAAAATGAATGTAAGACTGAGTATAGAGGAAAGAGACACAGAGAAGGACAGAGTATAAATGCGGTTCTACAGTTCAGTTTTGGAAAACATAAAGAAAGCTGAGTAAAACACATCTGCACATTCGTTTGCATTTGTCTCCTGGGAAGGAGGCAACTTAGGTCATGGTGGGAGCGTGGAGGAGATAATGAAATTAAGAAAGGAGCAGGTTTATATATGTCAAGCTCCAGGGTTTGATGTGGTAGCCAAAAGCATTTAGTAGCAAAATATAAAGTAGTATTAGCACATAATTGATTTTAATTATATGTTTTATAATTATGTAAATCCATTAAGTATAAAGGGGAGGCAGTACCATGTTCTTAATGACAAAGTTTCATTTAAGTAGCTGTGGATCAAAAGAAGGCTATAGATCACACCCCCCAAGAAAAGACTAAAAATTCAATTTATTTGAGATAGATAATGTACTGTACAATGAAATACCAGGGGTATGTACCACCTTTTAAATGTTCACATAGATGCTATAAATCACTCTGAAGCCATGTAGAAGAGCCAACGAATACTTAGAATCCTTTGCCAGGAAGTTTTAGGAGAAGATCATGATTAACTGGCTCAAAATATAAAATTTTACATCATACACTCTAAGAATTTGATGTAGAAAGGGCTTCAGAAGCTAATGGAAATAAAGTTTCCTGGTATTAGGGTATAAACAACTATTAGTCTTTCTGATGATGTAATGCTATAACTTCAAATATTCTTTGATTTTGTTATTAGCCAAAATCTTACTGAAGAGTCTTTACTGTGGTAGTTCCTGAAAACCAATAAACTAATTCTGAGCGTGGTTGAAAGTGTTCATTTAGCTAGTATGTTCCAATACAGAGGAAAATAAAAAATTATCAGGTATATAGAAACAGAATTTTAGAACTGGAGCAGACCTTAGGGAGCAAAATGGATGTGACATTCCATATTTACAGCTCACTTATATCAGAGTGAGACTAGAACCCTAGTTGACTTCCATAACATACTTCTATTTGCATTTTTAACAT